TCTACCCCTTGCTCCTGTGGCTCATGAAGCCCTGCTTGGGCAGCCTGGACTCCAGCAAGGGAGGAGTTCAATAACAGGCTGATAGGGTGCAAAACGGTCATGGAATGTGCATTGAATGTTTAAAGGGGAGGTTCAGGAGGCTCAGGAATGCGGGTAGGACTGCCTTCTAGCTCTTCCAGAGAGTCTGGAGCCTCCAGCTGCCCTAGAGTCCTCCCTTTGCCCCCCTATGTCCTAGAGCCCCAACAGCTGTTTGGAACCATGGATTGCAACCATGGGGCTAGAGGAGGGGGAACCAGGGGTGTCATTGGAACAGGTGAGGTTCTGGGATATGGCCCTCTCTAAGCATGCCACCAGGCACTCCATAACAGCAGTCAGGGAATCAAACATGGTTTCAGCCAGTCTGACTTGCTGCTCCCTGCTGGCTCATCTTTCCTGGTGCTTGGCGATCCAGTCCAGGCATTTGGCCTGCATCTTTCCATGAGGGAGTACATGCGGTCTGTTCGCAGAACATCTTCTCACTTGTCCGCTTTTGCCTGCGGATCTGCACCAGGTGGGTAGCTGCTTAGAGAGGGGAAGTTCATGTGAGTTGATTGCTGTTCCAGCTGCAAAGAAAAGCTATAAAGGCAGACATTACAGGAGATGCATTCTGTGAAGTCTACCCCATATCTCTTAGCAAACACCAAAGGTCTCTGTAAAGGCAATGGAGATGTGTTCATTTCAAGGCCTAATGTTTTCTTGACAGCAGTCACTTTACAGCAGGTGCCCAGACTTCTCAGGGGAGCATTGGGATGTACTCAGTCTGGAAGCAGGTTGGCATGGTAAAGGGCCAGCCAAGATAGGAGCATGCAGGGCAGGAGGGGGCTCTGTCTCTATCAAATGCAGCCTCAAGTGGACATTGCTTCTTTCCCTGTCCATGGGGGATGGGAACTGAGTGGAGGGGAAAGGAAATACGCATCTGGCACACACAGCCTGCCTGGGAGAGTGCTAATAGGTTCTCCTCCACCTTCCAGATTGCCATGTGAGATATCAGTCTTCTCTGAATCACACAGTGATTCGGAGGATTTGTTGACTGAATGTGCTATAAGCCTGGGTCTTATGTTGAAATGCTTTGTGGTTCAACGGTGCCAGACCACTTACTGGTGGCTTGGCAAGGGAAGATATCCTATCGTGGAGGACAGCATGAGACTGGCCTCCCTAAGAACATTGTGAGACGGATCAAAGAGTTCCTATGTGAGAGCTTCATGGAACCGATCAGGCAAAATTCTCGCTCTATCTATGGACACGTGAACAAGCTATTCTGAGCCCCCCTGCCCTATGTAGGCACAGAGCATGCCACACCTCACACCCCATTGCCTTAACCCGTTTGTAGTTAGAAAATATTTGTGAACTCAGCAGAAGTGCCCTCCCCAGCATTAGTGCAGAACTGGGAGACATCCTGGGAGGAGGGGATGGTCTCCTTCATCATAATGAGTTCCTGGCTCTTGGGGATCAGTGGCTGGCTACTCCCCTTCCTCTCCACCACCATGCTGTTCCACATGCTAACGCCAGGTGCGTCTTGGCCAGTCTCCACAACCATCCTGGGGATGTTGGCCAGGCCACCCCCCAAACTGTATGCATGAGATTCAGCCCCAAATCATCCACTTTTCTCCTTTGCCTTGTGGTATGACTATCAAGGCTCCTTGATCTTGACACAACACTACCGCACATCCCTGGAATATCCTTTAGCCCCCATGCAATCCTGCTCTATATCTCGGTGTTCCTCCTGCTGGTTTGGAGCTCTTTAAGAATGGCTTCCTCTCGCCTCCTCCCCCCCTACCCCCCACGCCTCGATGAGATCCTAGTTCTCCTGGATGCTTCAAGATGGTGCTGTTCTGTACCCCTTTGAACTGGTGCCTATGGAAGCAGAAGTATAGGAAATTGTCAGTGTCTGTTAAGAGTGTTAGAACACCTTGCCATGCCATGCTGTGTGCCAGGGTTTGCTACTTACTCGGACTGGGCTCGCAATGATGGCCACATTGGGAAATGCCGTAGTGATTTCCTCAGGGTTTTTTGAGCTCACCAGGAAAACAGTAGAGGTGCAAATTCTGGTCAGAGTAGGGAAGTGTGGGAGGGCTACCAGAGGCTAATAGCATCATCTTTCCAGCAATGCTGCATCTACGCTATTGTAAATTTGACTATGCAGAATCAGGAATAGCATTTCTCCTCATGAAAAGCAGGAGAACGGAAATCAACTTCCACGGGCCTTATGGCCAATATGACAGGTTTGGTAGTGTGGATGTATCACTTAGAAAATTGACCCATATGCGTCTAACGTTGATGTCAAGTTCTAGTGTAGACCAGGCCATGATGTATTAATAAAGAGAATGCTGACCCCTGGAAGTCTTAATACATAGTTTTAATTGTATCTGTCTGAGGGTTCTTTATTAGGGAAGACTGAAAGATTTGGGCTTGTTTAGTTTAGAAAAGAGAAGACTGAGGGGGCATGATAGCGGTTTTCAAGTATCTAAAAGGATGTTAGAAGAAGGAGGGAGAAAAATTGTTCTCCTTGGTCTCTGCAGATAGGACAAGAAGCAATGGGCTTAGATTGCAGCAAAGGGAGGTTTAGGTTGGACTTTACGAAAAACTTCCTAACCATCAGAGTGATTAAGCTCTGGAATAAATTGCCTAGGGCAGTGGTCCCCAACGTGGTGCTCGTGGGCACAATGGCGCCCACCGGGCCATTTCTGTGCACCCGCCGAGTGATCGGGGCCGGCCCCACCCCCGGGTGCGCAGCGCATGGGCGGCACTGGCCCTGGGTGAGCAGCACATGGTCGGTGCTGGCCCTGGGCGTGTGGCGTTTAGGTGGCCCCACCCCTGGGTGTGCGGCCCAAAGTCTGTGCCGGCCTCGGGTGTGCAGCATAGGGACGGTGCCAGCCCCGGGCACGCAGCACATGGGCGGCCCTGCCATCGGGCGCGCAGTGCATGGGCACTGCCGGCTCGTGGGCGCATGGCACAGTTTATGTTGTGGCAGATTTATCATCAAACGAAATATAACATATTTGCTTTAGCACATAATTTTGCATTTTGGCTAAAAAGTTCTGAAACTGTGGGTACATCTACACTACATGCCTCTGTCGCCAGAGGCATGTAGATTAGGCTACCAGGCATAGGAAAATGAAGCGGCGATTTAAACAATCGCCGCTTCATTTAAATTTACAGGGCTGCCACACTGAGCCGACAAACAGCGCGCTAGTCTGGATGCGCGGGTGTCGACATCAAAGGCATTTGTTGACCACCCAGGTATGCCTCATCCCAGGAGGCATAAAAGCCTTTTATCGACATCCCCCGTAAACCTCATCCTACGAGGCATAAGGGGGATGTCAATAAAAGGCTTTCAGGTCGGCGCGGAGCATCCAGACTAGGGCGCTGAGTCAACAAACAGCTGATCAGCTGTTTGTTGGCTCAGCACGGCAGCCATGTAAATTTAAATGAAGCGGCGATTATTTAAATCGCCGCTTCATTTTCCTATGCCTGGTAGCCTAATCTACATGCCTCTAGCGACAGAGGCATGTAGTCTAGACGTACCCATAGACAACCAAAAGGGGTGAATTTGAGGTGTATTGTGTGTCAATTAATTATTCATCAAGCACCATTAAAAATGCAAGTAATAACCAAACTTTATATTACTTGTTTTGGTTTTGCCATCTCAGTGAGATGTGTACAGAATAAAAGGTTAAAGTATAGAAACTTTAACTATGCTGCAGATAGTGCTGCATAATAATCCTGTACAGTGTGAATAGAATTGTCTGAAATAAGGATGTTAAAAGGTGGGCAATTGACTAATTGTGTAGTTGATAAGGGAAGGCGCTCAGTCCTGGCTTGTGCTGGGTCCAGGAGTTACTCCTGCTGCAGCTTTGCAATTTAAATTTAGCGTAGCTGGACGCTTACGTGCAAGATAGCGTCCAGACTGCCTGGACAATGCTATCTTTTTCGACGCTCTCTTGCACGTGAAGTTTTTTCGGAAGATCTCTTCCAAAAAAAGCTTCTTGCACTAGAAGACTGTAGCCTAGACAGAGCCTTACAGCCCTAGTCTGAACTACAACTCTTTATCACCCTAATTGCAAATAATATAAAGCTTTACACCTTTTGATACTAGTAAAACAGGTGCAGAGCTTTGCCTCTTTGTTCCACTATGAGCATAGGTTTTTGTAGAAGCCACCTTTAAACATAAAATGTATTTCTCTATTGTGCTCTGTCTTTACCAGAGCAAGATTAATTTTAACAGTAATAAAAATATTGCTATAGATTTGCATGGCCTTTTATGGAAAATGAAAAGACAGGTCCCTGTCTCAGAGCTTTTAATCTTAATAGTCTGATCCTGCAACTTGAGCATTTACTTATATGGAGCTCTATGTGGGTGCAAAGTGTCTGTCTATGCATAAGGATCAGAATATGAATTACTCATGAATTTATACTGAGAATCTGGTTTCCGTATGTGGTAATATTGGTCTATTAAATTAAGGGCACCTATTTTGACATGTATTTTGTTTTTAAATTTAAAAAATACTACTTTGGCATACGTAACATTGAAAAACTCTGTGTATTTATTTGTATTGTTCCTGATAAGTAATACTTTATTTTCCTTTGGCCATCAGCTTTGTAGTTTTCCCATTGTGAACTCACTTGGAGCAACATACAAATGATAGAGTGCTTGAAACCTGGAGCTACGTGCTATTTTTATATTTCTAGTATAACTGATTACTGGTAAATGCTTGTTTTTAGTATGCTGTTGATTCTTAGTCCAAAACAGGAAACCCTTCTTTGTCTGTGTATTGGGGCTGGTAAGAATTTTTAGTGTTGTGCAGAAACTCTCTCATGGTACTCTGAGCTTTGGCTGAATCAGACCTACACACTATGTATATCGTTCTATGTTTTTAAGCGCATTTAAAAAATGAAAACATATGCATTTCTTCTATAAAACTGATGTTTGATATCCGATAAACCCTTATTGTATCCTCTAGACAAGAGAAGAAAGGAAAATGGAAGCTATTCTGCAAGCTTTTGCCAGACTAGAAAAAAGAGAAAAAAGAAGAGAACAGGCTTTGGAAAGAATCAGCACAGCTAAAACTGAGGTTAAATCAGAATGCAAGGAAGCCCAGATTATCAGTGACACTGAGTTTATTCAGGTAGCTATCTGTAACATAAAACGTGTATTAAATATTACCTTGTTTTAAACATTACGTTTGGAATTCAAAATACATTTTTAAATCTAAAACTTGTGAAATCTTAATTCCATATTTTGATTTTTAGATTTGACTTCAGATTTTAGTAAAACTTGAAGAGCTTTGACATGACTTGGTGTGTTTTTTTTAAATTTTTCAACGTTAGATAAATTAGTACAGCCATAGTGGAAGAACAGCAGTTAAATTAAGGGAGTTTAATACACAAAAAGCTACTTGAAGATTGCACTGGCTATTATTTAGAGTTCAAAACTGACACAGTGCACTCTAATCCTAACTCCAAGAGTTTTGTAAGGCTTAGTTTATGTCTGATACATTTGGTATGTTACAAAGAGAAAGTGAAATTTATTAAATATCATGAATGCCATTGTAGTGTTTGGATTTTACATATAACTTTGTCAGGTATAAGTAAAATAAAAACTTACAATTTATGGAATGTGCTGTTTGTAACAGCCATAGTTAAAAGCATTAATAAAAAATGGGAAATAACTTTCCTTGCTGAAGAGTACTGTATTCTGTGTATTAAATATTTTTTTGCCTTACTATGCAGATACTATAACAGAGACAAGGAAAGTCCAAAATATTCACAGTTAACATATTTAAGAGTATGTAGTACCAAAGGTGTGTGCTGGGGCATTACAGACAAATAAGGGAGAAAGGTCTATGCCTTGAAAGAGATTTATGATATAAATAGATTAATTATAGACCAAGGTAGTTAGAGATAGGGATGTGAAGGACTAGTCGACTGTCCGATTAGTCAACTAGCATGTCAAGTCTTCGGTAAGAATTTGCTTGTCACTTCCCCTCCCATTTGCTGCTTCTATCAGAAAGAGGCAGCAAGGGGAGTGGGGATGAGGAGGGAGTACTTCAAAGTGGCAGCACTGCTTGAAGCCTGGGCCAGACCCCAGGCTCCATGTGACACTATCGCTTTGAAATGCTGCATGCAACCCATGATCAGCTGGGGACTCCCCTGCTAACTCTGGGCTCCATGTGGTGCTGTTACTTTGAAAAGCTGTGGGGTGCCTAGCGTCATGCTTCTCCCAGCATTTCAAAGTGGCAGTGCTACATGGAGACTGGCGTCTGCAGGGGACTCCCCAGCAGACTCCAGGCGGTACTTTCACCTTTGAAGTGTAGCTTCAAAGGCAGAATCGCCCTATCGACTAATGGAATGGTCAATGAAAAATGCATCCACTATTCGATTAGTCATTTAGTCACTATTTAACATTCTTAGTTAGAGAATGTCATAAAGTTCACCATAGGAATTTCCAAGTCAATAACACCAGTAGCTCTTCCACTTCGGATTCCTGGTAGACAGTGGCTAGTGCCTGATGCTTCATATAAACATGCAACAAACGTCATGCATGTATGTTTGCAGTGTAAGAGGATATAGGCATTAAATATTTCCATTGTAAAGCCAGGAACTAGGTTTATAGATCTTTACACCTCTAAGAATGAAGGAATCAATCTTGTTTTGTTTTTAGTCATGTATGTAACTACTTTAACTGCTGTATCTTGCACCAGGAATCAGCAAAAGAGGAAACTGCCACCAAGCCAACCCCTGCCAAAGTTAATAGAGCTAAACAAAGGAAAAGTTTCTCTCGGAGCAGAACACATATTGGACAGCAGCGTAGACGACACAGAACTGTCAGCACATGTTCAGATATCCAGCCATCTTCTCCAGATGTGGAAGTCGCTTCACAACAGAATGAAACTGAGAACACTGCACTTGCAACTGAGCCTGAAACAGAAACTGCTGTTGCAGAAATAGTCACTGAAACAGAAGCTCCAGCACTTAATAAATACCCTGCTAAGTATCCTAAAACAAAGAAGGTATGTCTGTCTATAAAAAAGAACATCTATAAACAGAGGCACATTAATGAAAAACAGAATTTTAAAAAAAAGCACTGTGTATATAAATAAGCACAAATTTTGTACTGTGCAACTGCTTGACTTTTCTGACATGAATGTCATAGATTTTGGCATGTTCACTGTTGGTAATGTAAGGGACTAAAATAGTTAATGGTACTCTACAACAGTTTGGATTTTCAGAACTTCTGAACTACGTTTTGCAGAATAATTTAGATAGTCTTATTTCTATGGTTTAACTTGTTTTTAATGTTAACTGTTTATACCCAGGATGATTTGATTTATTGACTTTTCCTTTTGCTGAGAAGGCTGGGTTTCAGGTTGGTTAAATTTAAAAGATCTCAAGAACAATTAAAAACTTGAAAATAATAGAAATAATGTTCAAAGAAACTTCCATTTTTAACATAAGCATATTGCATATAACTTGTAAAGTGTTTCAATCTTCTCTATCCTTGTGCAGCATAATCAAAATGTAAAGTGTTTTTTTGTTTGTTTGGTTTTTTTTTTAAATAATTAAGCTCCTTTTTTTTCAGTTTAACGGAAAAATTCCCAGGTTTTACAAAAGGTTATGTTCATTTTTTTTTCAAATACATAAAAAATATATTATTGCGTTAGGAAAACACAATACATTTGATGAGATATATGTATTACAATAATACATTAGTTTGTGCTTATATGCAAAGCTACCTGTTGAAATAAGGAAATCAGCCTAGAGATAAAATAAACAGGCCAATGGGTGCTCTGAAATGCATGCACATCTGAATCTGCTGATGAATCACACCCACAGTGTACACATTTGAAGCTGTTAGCAGATGATGTTTTAAAGATCTTACACATTAAAAAGGGAAGAAAATAAAGCATGCATTTCAGAACACATGAGAATATTTAAAAGTTTTTAAAAAAAGGATGAAGTTGAATGTATGAGCTTCAGATGGTAAGGCTCAATTATTAAATGTGAACAAAGGTGAAAGAAAGCCGGTGCACTAGTAGGAGACTGGCCAGCTGTGGGTGGGGCTTTTGATGTTGCTGGCACCCTAGGGAATGCGGTCACAGCACACCCAGGCTCTAAGTACTAGTGCTCGGGTGGCTGGACAGCACGGCAGCCACTCTTTCATCTCTCCCCCACACACTCCAACCCCCTACTAGGGGTGTTTAATCAACTATTTAATAACCGATATTTATCTCATGAATTCTTATTGGTTACCCAACTATTCTATAGTCCATGGGGTTGAGGCTGGCAGCCTGTGCTCTCTGGCCTCACTCCTAAGGAGCCCCCTGCCGCTGTATCAGAAGCAGCAGTGCAGAGTGCCAGGTAGGAGCTGGTCCGCTAACCGAGCCAGTTTAAAAACGAGGTCTCTTCATAGACCTGTTTCCTGACCGGAGGTGGGGCTGAGTTCCCAGACCTGTCGCAAGCTGAAACTCAGCTGGGTAGCCTGCCTGTCTGACTCCTAATACGCTTTAAATGCAAAGCTTCAGCAGGGGTAGGACCTGGACCTGGCATGAGCCAGGACTGAGACAGGCTACTGGCCTGCCTGCTAAAAAAGTTACTGGGCGTAGGGGGAGTGGGAGGGATGCATGTAGCTTTTGCTACACTATTACCTCTACCTACCCTACCTTGAGCACCCTCACAATCCCCTAGGTTAGGTTTTGTTTTTTACAGGAGGAGGGAAGAGGGGAATATATTCAAAGCAGAACAGTGAAAATAAATTAAGCTGAAGAATGGATGGTAATGAAATCTGATAATGAAGATCTGTACATGTTAAATTATTATAGTGATTTAAATAAAAGCATTTTCCTCATGCTTAGTGGCTTAAAGTGCCAGGCATAAATCCTGAAATATACTCTTGAATCAAAATCTGTATCAGGGTGGCCAACCCCTTCCAGACAAAGAGCCAAAATAGTGGTGGATATAACACAAAGAGCCGAGGGGAAAAAGTTGCTAAGCAAAAAAACAAGCAGGCTTCCTTTGGCCGCAGCGTCAGATGTCGGCGCCCCAAGTGGCGCCCTGACCAGACAACGAAAAAAGGTCAGAGCAGGGGAACACGTAACAGGTGCGGGAGCCACATGCAGCCTGGAATCTGCTGGGGAGTCCCCTGCAGACGCCAGGCTCCATGTAGCACTGCCACCTCAAAATGCTGGGAGGAGCATGATGCCAGGCGCCCCACAGCTTTCCAAAGTGGCAGTGCCACATGGAGCCCAGGGTCAGCAAGGGAGCCCCCAGCTGATCCTGGGTTGCATGCAGCGTTTCAAAACGATAGTGTCACGTGGAGCCTGGAGCCCAAGAATATTCAACCTATACAACTTCACAGCAGATACTATTATTTATAGTATTTTAGCATTTGAGTCCCAGTCGTGGACCAAGACCTCATCATATTAGGTGCTGTACAAACATGGAAAAAAAAGTACAGTATTAATTAATTAGATATCTGGCATAAAATTATTCAGTAATATAAATGAAAGAACTAGCACCATCATCCTAGTTCAAAATCATGCAAATAATTCCATGTTATGAGTTTAGCAATATTTAATATCTAGATTGGGGATGGTTGTTGCATTATTTCACCAGTTATCAAAACTATGCATTGTTGTTGCAATAATCCTTAGCCTTTTATATGTATGGCCTTCTGAGTTTGCACATCTAAGTAATCATGCTAATTTTGTAACTGAATACAAATTCAGTCTTATTAGATGGGATGGGAGAATAATAGAGTAAATGAGGAATCAGTTTCCAAATTTTGATGAAATGTACATTGAACATTTGAAGTTACCAGCAATAGAAAGATAGCTTTTTGGTTAGCCTAAAATAATGATGTGATTTTAGTCTCACCTCAGTCTATTTATTTGCCGGATTATAAATAATGAAGCTTTACATGCTAGTAACAGAATCTGCTGAGAAAGCAAAACAGACCCAATATTTTAACATATAAATAGTTATCAGTAAATAAAAACTCATTCATATGCATTATGAAAAATAAAGTTCAGCATCATAAACTGATAATTTTTTTTTATCAGCTACATTATCAGTGAGAAATTACAAACTGATCTATACGTTACATTGGGGTTTACAACTTTGCAAACCAGCCAGGGAAAGCCCCAGGCACGTGACTAATACTTGGTTTACTCTAAAGCTCCACAGCAACGGAGCCTCACAGCTCCCATTGGCTGCAATTTACTGTTTCCAGCCAAAGGGAGCTGCCAGAAGCAGCGCAGGCCAGGTGGGTCCACAATCCAACTCTGAAAACCTCTGCTTTAGATGTTAGGTGGTTTACAGTCCAGAAAACTAGATATCCATTTTTTGCATGAATCAAAAAGCAAACGTGATTTACCAAAAGCAGATCGATTGAGATACTAAACCATTCTGTATGAAGCATTTTGCAATTTCTTATGTATAACTTTATACGCATTGACACTTCCCCTTTTTGTCTAGCACTTGGTCAGTGAATGGTTAAGTGAGAAGAATGAGAAGACAGGAAAGCCTATAGAGAACCCTTCAGAAAGGCCTTTGCGTATAACTACAGATCCTGAAGTTCTGGCTACACAACTGAATTCTTTACCAGGCCTCACTTACAGTCCACATGTGTATTCTACTCCTAAGCACTATATTCGTTTTACTTCACCATTCCTTTCAGAAAAAAAAAGGAGAAAAGAACCCATGGAAAACATTACTGGCTCTTGCAAGAAGGTAATTAATCCTTTGACTTAACTTGGCTTTGAAACCAAAGGAAAATTGCATGTTTCTGTTGGTTTTCTTTTTCTCTCAACTTCCTCTCATTTAATCGCAATTCTTTGTAAGCATAATCCTGTGTTGGAACTTGCAGTGTTTGGAACAAATTTCTTTCTTTTTATGACAGCGTTGGTTGAAACAAGCTTTAGAAGAAGAAAACTCAACAATGATAGACAGATTTAATTCTCCAACTCAAGAAAGATCTAGGAGTCCTGTGATCAATGGTGAAAATAAAAGTCCATTATTACTGAATGACAGCTGTTCCTTACCAGGTGAAGCTTTTAACACCTAAATATTATAAGATATCTTAATCATTTGAAGTGGCTTAACATTTTTAAAATCAATGAGGAACAATGTTGTCAAACAATATGCACCCCATGTAAGCAATAAATATTCTATTGGACAATCTTCAATACATAGTGTTATACAAATTTTTCTTTTGTTCTTGGTTTATTAGAACACTTGAAATAAAGGATGAAAATAATTTGATAAACTATAGTTTACTTCAGCTAGTGTAATTGGCACATATGTTTAACAGAAAAATTACTGAGTTTTAATATTATTTAATACAAAACGAGCATATGAATCTGTGAAATGTTATAAACACACAAATAGTTTTCATTTTTGAGCTGAAGAATTTTCATAATGTAGTACCATATGTGTTTGTATCTTTGGTAATTTTTTTTGATAATTTTTCCATCATTTTATTTAACATTGAAAATTTCAGTTCTTAAATTCTGTGCAGCTTCAGTAATTTGTTAGGATTGTAATTGATTTTGGGGGGGTTTAACACTTTTCATGAGAGGCATATCTTTAATTTGCTTGCTGACTGATTTAATGCATTGTATTTATAATTTTATTGCATTCTTATGTCTTTACAAAATGAGGAAGAATGACTATTGGATTAGCAACTATTATTTCCTAGTCTTTTTTTTTTCTATTTAACATATAGATCTAACAACACCATTAAAAAAACGAAGACTCTATCAGCTGTTGGATTGTGCTTATTCAGAAACCTCCACACCTATTCCTTCTCCATATGCAACACCAACTCATGGTGATATCACTGCCACAGACCCATCATTGTTTGCTACTCCTCCTAGGATAAAAGCAGAAGATGAAACTTGTAAGAATGGTTACAAACCCATATATTCACCAGTTACTCCTGTGACTCCATGTGTACATGGAAATGCCATGCACTTTGAGGTGAGATTTTCAGATGAACGAGAATGTATATTTTTCCCCCCAACATCTTTATAAATTAAACACCAGGCTTATCAGACTCAGTTTTTAGTCAATGAACATAAGATCTTATTTACATGGAATTTGAAAGTGCACCAAAGTGCTCTATATATTTCCCATTTGGATCCTGCTGGCCTGCTTTAAAAGGTACTTGGCACACTCTAAAAACCAAAACTAACAGATTACCTTTATAAAATCACATCCTTCTGGCATGTTTTGCCAATGCCATGTAGATAAAACTGAAACTGCTCATTAGGACTATACCATACGTTACATTTAAAGGCCCTGGTTCATCAATCAAAACCACTTGGGCAAATTTTTAGTCTTGTAGTGAGTCCCCTTGACTTGAGTTGGTCTTCTCTGGGCACATTCATTTGCACAAATCTTACTGCACAGTCATGACCTCTAAAACTTGCATTGTCGTCAACAAGATCGGGATATTTGTTTACATTCAAAATCTTAAAAGAATGAAGGCTCAACAGTTCTAAAGCAAATATATGCTTTTCTATGTGTTGCATTATACTATATAATTAATAGCCTGGTAACTTTTGTGACAGTAACAGAAAAACATACAACAGTTACTGAACAGTTCCTTTTTTGCCATGAAATTGAAACAAAATCACGTTTTATACTAATTTGAGAAATGGAAACTTAAGGTGTCCAATTCTTATTTCTCATAATCTTTACGCCAGGGTAAGATTGAACTTGAATCTTACTAATTTTTTTATTTGTGCAGAATATTTCCTCACCCGACAGTTCCCCAGAAATTAAGAGGAGAGCTTACTGTCAAGAGGTAAGAATCTTTGTAAGAAACTGTAGAAAAGTACATCTTCATTAGCACAAAAACTAGTAAATTGGTGGGAATGTGACAGTAATTTTTCTTCCAGCTCAGGTTGTCCAGTTCTGCACATTTCCCGTTTTTCTCTTTGTCCTTTCCCCTTCCTATGTTCCTCCTCATTTATCCTTTTTTGATCCTTTCATATTTTCCCACTTCCCTTCCATTTCCACATTCTTTATAGACTACAGGCACAAAGAGCAATATGATCCATACCTTTGAGAAGGCCTAAATGAAGTTTCTTCCAGAAAAAGACTATCACAATTAATGTGTTTTTCTGTAGATTACCAGCAACAAAATGTAAGAGTTAAAGTTGATGAAATATTAATCCTCATGCGTAATTAACTAGTACTAATATTAAAAAAATCCAAAACCCTAAGCACCAAAATGTCTAGAAATGATCAGTGATGGTTATTTATACATTCTAATATTATGTGTTACATATTCAGCTAAAGGCAGTTTAAGATTCACCTTGCATAGTCTAATCAGAGCTTTAAGAATGACTCAACATATACCTCAATGTGTGTAAAAATTTTTCATTGGTATGTTAAATCCATCTTGTAGATTAAAATTAACGTGATTGTCAAATTTTTAGTTGAACTGTAATGCTCATTTAAACAAGTATGCCATATTTTAACTGGCTATTTTTAGACACTGGGTTTGTATAATTTTAATTATGCACCTAATTTTTACATAAGGTGGTATTATGTGTCTGACTTAGATTTGAATTAATGAAGCTTTTGGTTTGGAATCCTATAAAAATACAAAATAGAAACTTAAGAAAGTGAAGCGTTAGCACAGAAGAAGTTTCCTTTTTCAAAAGATTCTGCAAACCTCAAAAAATGAGGTTGACAGGATTTTTCAAAAAAGGATTCCATTTTCGAAAACTGCATCTAGACTGCGGTTTTACTTTAGAAATAGCATTTTTATGAAAGAGCGCCATGACGCAATTATGCAAATGAAGCACGGGAAAGTCAAATCCCAGCTTCATTTGCAATTTTGAAGTGCCTAATTCACATCCCTCTGTCGAAAGAGGGATGCAGTCTAGACGTACCCTAAGTGGTCTAACTCTGATTTAGAACATTTGTTTCCATAGCTAAAAGGGATTTAATTCTGCTTTAAGGATGCAGTCACTAATGAAGCCTCGATTATATTACATGTAGTAGTATAAGAAGAGAAGTTATATTGTGGGGAAAAAAACGTCTATATCTATGTACTTTTTTTTCATGCAGGGATATGACAGATCATCCACAGTACTAGCACTAAATTCTTTCAGAAATTCCAGTCTGACAGAAATGGGCCTGCAAGAAATAAAGACTATTGGATATTCTAGTCCAAGAAATAGGACTGATGTCACAAGGCAGTGCACTGGAGAAAAGGAATCTCTATCAGACCTCCAGTTGGGACTCGAAGTAATTGAGCAAAGTACACTGCATAAAAACTTGGAAGCCCCTTCACACGACAGGACTGATTCTAACAGCCACCTAGAAACTGCTCACTGTGGACGGGGTACGATTTACTCTACATGGGTAAAAAGCCCAGACAGGACAGGTGTAAATTTTTCAATGAATTCTAATTTAAGGGACTTAACACCTTCACATCAGTTGGAAGTAGGAGGTGGATTCAGAATAAGTGAATCAAAGTGCCTGATTCAAGATGATGCAAGAGGCATGTTTATGGAAGCATCTGTTTTCTGTACTTCAGAAGATGGAATTGCATCTGGCTTTGGAAGGACTGTCAATAACGACATCTTGATGGATGGAAATTGCACGCCCCAGAATCCTCCACAAAAGAAAAAGGTTACAACTTTAAGCATCATTCATGATTTATTTTATATAGCCCAGTACATGCATAGCTGTTGAGAATAATTAGTTATAATAAAAATTTTATTGATCAGTTTTTACAGGAATTACAATGCAGATATTATTTTAATTATATGATTATCAAATTCTTTTTAAAAAGGAACTTCTGCTTTTCAGATATGAAAATCATATGTTACAAACAAAGCAACACAGTACTTGTTTATTAAAATGAACTTTTAAAAATCTAGTCTACATTTCACTACTTAATCCATTCTTGGCTTGGATAACGAAATCAATTGACAATAATTGTTATACTTGAAGACTTTTAGTGTGGCAATTACTTCAAGGGAATGTAATTCATAGAAACTTGTGTTGGTTTTAGGTTTTATAAAAAGTGTACATTTTAGAAAATTTAGCTTTTGAGCTAAATTTTAAATCGACAATATTAACTAACGCTACTCCTTTAAATTAGAAAGAAAACTTAAATAAAACTGTTTCAGTGCATTTAGGTCATGCATGCCTACAGGCCTATTTGCACCTATCAGTCATTATCTGCTTTAAAAGTCTTTACTAAATAGTACTGGGTTCAGTTATAGCCCTTCTCCTTACAGAATGGGGAACAGTAATACTGTCGACCTGCCAAAAATTCTGACCCTATAGTCTAGATGTCCTCCTCCTTTTTCAAACTTTTTGTGGCAGTGATGGAACAGGGTTTTTCCCCTTTTCTCTGTACCTGTTCATTTAACCACTGTAACATAGTACATCAGCTCAGGAAAAGGAAATCCAAATCCAGGCTGTCTGTGATTGTGAGATACATCTGCAGCTAGATGCTGAAGGCAAGCTATGTTCTCATTCTGCTTGGGAAAGGGACTCTTGACACTGAGGCTATGTAGACTGCAGAGAAAAGTCGGAAAAAGATACATAAATTGAAAACCGCAATTTGCATATCTTTTTTCTGCCTTTTTTTTCCCCCTTTGGAAAAACTTCCTCTTTCAGAACATCCCTTATTCCTCAATACAGTGAGGAATACAGGGATGACGAAAGAATGCATCCGCTTTGTTGGAAACTGTTCCAAGTAAGCAGACACGTTCCTTGGATGCGGCAGAGCTTTTCCGAGATACCAGAGGTACCCTGGAAAAGCCCTGCAGTGTAGACATAGCCTGGTAGAAATGTATGACACTGCAGCTCCTTTTCCTTCTAAAGCACCTTGGAAAATGAAGGGAAGGAACCTGATCTCAGTTAAGCTATAAACTCCTACAATTACTCTGCCATTCCACCCACATCTAATGCTTAAGTGAGCCTTATTATCTTTACATCCAGGCATAACCATCTAGACAACAAATGGATTTTGCTATTCCATCCACAGTCTTAGAATGAGTGTTATCAGTGAGAAGTCAGCATTAAGTTGTTGAGAAATGTTCTCAATTAATGTAGTGTAGGGTTATAGCTAAAATACGAGTTATTCATCTCTCCTGATGAGAGAGAAAACGGAGTTTCATACGCAAGAGAAATTTCCAAGAAAAGCAGACAGAGTTGCAGCTCAGTTTGGAGGGGGGCAGGGGAGTGGGCCAGAGGCAAAGAAATTGTAGGTCTAAAGAAGTATGAAGAGCACAAAAAGAAATAACAGAAAGCAGATTTCTTTTTCTGTATTAAGAAAAAGAGGAATTCTTAGAAACTGAAGAGGAGCATACTAAGAGAAAATTGTAGGAAAATCTTTTCCAGTAAATTTGAAACCACAAGGAGAAAAATAATTACCAAACTGAAACAGATAGAAGATCAATTGTGTAGAAGCATACTGACAGAATTCAAGTTAAATACCTTCTGAGATCGAATTCGTTACAGGTGTGTACATGTTCAGTATCACTGTGACAGCCTTAGAGATTCCAGACATTGGCAACAGGGTCAGCAGTGTGCACAATCCTAAATTTTACCAAGTGCAGACGCCCAAGGATAGTATAGACTGAAGTGGCATTAGCAAAGACATGATTTATCCCCTCTGTTAGGGGAAGTTCTTCCTAAAGGAATGTTTAAAGAAACTAAGATGTCAAATATTAAAGCAGCCAGTATATAGTGGCTTTATCCATTGTGTACTTCATGAAATGGAACCATGCCCTCCAGATCACACCAGCCCAAAAGAAAATCCTTAGATGTTTGTATGATATAAACTTTAATGGCCTCTGTTTCTTTGGATACATTGCATTTTTTGCAAAGGCTTTTGGCCTTTAACACATTGCCATATTCAGTATTTAGCTGTACACTTGAATTGCAAATGACTATTCCAAATGTACAGGTTTTCTAATACCTATATGGAAATTAAAATCTAAGGACAGAATCAGATAATGAGCATGATTAAATGCTTTGCTTTGCCCTGCCTCACTGTCTGCAAACCCCACAATCATGTAAAATAAGTAAGTGGAATTTAGATTCTCATTTTGTTTAAAGCAGTCCTTTAAAAACAGACATAGTTCGACTTTTGTACAAGATGATTATGGAGTAGAGAACCTCAATAATCATCAATATACTCCGCATGAGAACAGCAGAAATGGCTTCTGTACATAATTGGGCTATCATCTCCCAGTATGGCACAGTTCCCCCACAGCCAGAGGGTTTCTGGAGATGGTGAAAAATTACTTTGGAAAGTAAATCACTAGTACACCATCTCTTATATTCATACTTCATTTAACAATATTTGATTGATTATTTAATTGAGATCCTAGTTCCTTGGAGTAAGAGCAATGTAACTGATGTCAGATCAAGATCAATTCTTGAGGGTATACTCCATATTCTTGATCAGGAAGAAAAGGTCAGAAGTATATTATGTTCTAGACCTGATGGAATCACAACATGTAAGAAAATTTGCTTTTCTGGACTGAGACCCTATGCCTGTTAGTTATTGTAATATTGCAGCCATCTCTATTACCATAGTATATGAGTAGCTCTGTCTTTAATATGCTTCTCCTCTCATTACTCCTTGTGGTAGGGAGATCATATTTACAGATTGGGAACTGAAGCATAGACTAAGTCTGTGGTGGAGCATGTAATTAAACGGTAGCTTTGTGACTACTATTTTAGCACCTCACATTCTAAACCCTTCATATGTCTAACAAAAGTGTAATTTCAGGTATCAGTCTATGAGCTGGTGGTAGTTTTCTCAGATTCACCTACACTACACAGCCACAAATGCTGTCAATACTAGGCATCTTGTATAAACTTTGTTAATGATAGTAGCTAGTCTTAAGGGCCCTGAGCATATGTACTCTTGTGTCAGTAAAGTTAATCTCGACTTTGTTCAACAAAGCAGTTCTCTTCTCTAAAGATGCTCATGAATTTAGAAATCAAATCAGAGAGCTTGTCTACGCATGAAACTTATGGAATACATAAGGGTTTGAATTTAAAGCAAAATAATATGTTCTGAAACTCCTCCTCCAGCAAACATTTATTTTGGTATAAAAGTGTCTACATATGGAATTATGCTAGAATAATTCATATATGGGCAATCCTTGAGCTAATGTGCACATACAGCAACTTGGGATGAGAGACAAACCAGTGAGGAAAGACTTAAGATCTCTTTCTCTATATACACATCATTACTAGGCCGTTTCCATTATTTGGACTTAGTGTTTTGTGTAGGCATAGTCTCATCTACACATGGGGAAGATTCAGAGATTACTGCCAAGGAATAAATCCCAATCTCTGAAAAATAAAGTGCAGAATCTATAATCATATCAGTTATGTCAGGCGCAGACTGATATCAAGTATCAGAGGGGTAGCCATGTTAGTCTGAATCTGCAAAAACAAGAAGTCCTGTGGCACCTTGTCTGATACCAATCATCCTCTGTAAAAGAGTCTCCAAAATTAATGCAAATTTTCTAAGAATTATTTTTCAACTGGTGTTGAAGTTAAAACTAAGCATACATTTTCTGGAACTCAGGGTAGTCTAGCTCTCAACTTTTCAAAGGCAGCCTTGAACTCCTACGCTGTGATACAGTTGACCAACATGACAGTAGTATTGTATACCAGTTAACAGATGAGATGTCCCATCATCCATGTAGAAGTCATTTCCTAGGCTGGCCAGAATCTCTAACCGCTGCTCTGTCAGCATTCAGTAAATCAGTAGATTTCATCCTCAGTCTTTATATTCTTTCTATAAGCAGAAGTATGAGGCCTTCACCATTGGAACAATTTCCAACCAATGTAAATGCTGAGACTACCTATCTTTCTCCAAATAAATTGACCTTGCAACACAGAGTTATGTTTACCCTACAGTATGTCAGCATAATTGATATTGCTCAGCAGTACGAATAAACTACTCCACTGTGTGACAAGTTACACCAAGATAAGCATTTGTATGAATATCCCTATGCCAGTGGGAGAGCTTCTGCCACCAAGGTAGCTATACCACCACACTTCCAGAGGTGGCTTAATTATGCCAATGGGAGAACACTCTCCCTTTGGCATAGAGAGTCTTCACCAAGCCCAGTGCAGCACTATGTAGGTAGACAAATCATTGTGAGAGAGGAGGAAGGAACTGAACTATGGACATCTTCATTAGATCTGACAAATAGAATTAGGGCTTAAGTGGGAGCTGTTGGTACTTAGCATTTTTGAAAATCAGTCATGTGTCCAGATATTTGTTCAGCACACTAATTTTAAGCCTCTATTTAAAAAAAAAATGTTGGCTATGAAGTTGTCCAGTATCTCAACAATTGTAAATCTAGATAGCTTTAGTTATCCCTCTTTCCCCCCATGGCACTATGCCAATTTATACCAGCTAAGAATTTGCCTCAATTTATCATGCATTTTCTGTTGTGACACTTTTATTCCCAAGGGTTGGGTTTTCCATAATGAACACAAAAGCATAAAGAAGTCAAATATAACTTGCACGTAAGGCTGATTTCTTAATGAATAAAAATGCAGTCCAGGCTTTAATATTGGTATTTCAGCTTTTTGTTTCTAACTCAAAAGCACACATTGAGAACAACTTTGCATAGATTTTTCTCCTAGAGAGGAAGAAGCATAAAAAGGGGGTAGGATTAGTGTTTAAAAAAAAAAATCAAACCTTTTTGCAATTATATTTTAAGGAGACTTCAGAAAGTTGTAATTATATATAAAAACTTAACGTTTCTCAATTTAAATCATGTTCTTCAGTAATGAAATCAGTTTTGACCAATAATTTTATGTAATGTATGCTGAATCGCTGTCTTTATCAAAGTACAATAAAGGGTTATTCGAAAACAATATGCATGAATTGGAATAATTCAGTTTTCATTATATAAAAGAAAAAGACAAATCAAATACAGATGTTACAAATAAAAAAATATGTAACTCCCGTATTTAACCAAGTAGCCATTTTTAATGCAAATGCATCAGGGTAAAAACAGAAAAATAAACGTTTAAAATGGCTTCCACTATCACATAATAGCTACCATTTTAAATATGCTGCAACTCCCAGGAAACCGCATTCTTGAAGTCCTCTTATTTACAGTGCACTTCCCAACAGCACAGCTTCTGCATAGCAGGATCTTCCCACACTTGCTGCCTGAGTTCCATTTTCTGCACTTTTTCCTAGGGTAGGAAAAACATGTTTCCTCTCCCTGACAGAGATTTCTCTCACTGTACTCCTGTTTCTGTTCATCAGAAACCAAACTTTATCATGATGTAAAATCTCCAGAAATGAATATCATTATTTCGACTAACTTATCTATTGTAATATTTTTAGAGACAATCACAAGGTATTTCCATTTGAGATTAAAGAAAACTGGTCAGTAGGTTAATTACTTAACAAGTGTTTGTAATGAAAAATGAGTAAACTTTTCCTCTGGTGTTTCTTCCATAGGTGTCTTTATTAGAATACCGAAAGAGACAACGAGAAGCTAGAAAAAGTGGCTCCAAGACAGAGAGCTTTTCTCTGGTTACAGTATCTCCTCATGCTGCTGGTGGAGGAAGTATAAGCAGTAACAGTGGTGCTAATGATGGGTATAACAGTGGTGAAAATGGGGAGCAAATTGATAACACTGCTAACGTATCTTTACCACTGACAGCTACTGTTTATAATACAACTCCAGAAGAAACTAGCAACAATTGTCCAACTAAAGAAGCTTCTTCCAGTGACAAAAATGAACCCGAAGTTCAATGGTAAGTGCAGATTGCAAGTTCAGAAAAAGTTTGTGTAGCCAACAGACAATTAATTGGAGAAGCAATAAACAAATTTAAAGTGGAAATACAGCAGTGTGTCAAGGAAATATTACAGATGCAATATGTTAAATTGTCAGTGCCATGAATTCTTGATAGCATACATTTATTTTATTAACAATTATATGGGGGTATTTTATAGAATCCAGTTTTGTTAGACTATAAGTTGATATTTTTAGTGTGCCATGGTGGGTTGACTTAGTTGAGATAATGGGATACCATTTTAAAATTCATAAATTATACATGTTTGAAAAGAATACTTAATCTAGATTTATTTCACCAAAATCAAAAGACTTTTTGGCTAAAAGCTTTGCTTTCAAACGAGTGTTTTAATGGGAAGTGACTAGAATGTGGGAACATATTTGGTCCTACCGTTGAAAGTTTGTACATGGAATACTGAGGACTTAAAATATTTTAAAATTAAGTATGGTGAAGGGGCATATTAGTAAATAATCATATTTAGCCTGAGTGAAACAAATCATTATTTTTTTTCCTGTAAAAAAGGCCTAGATAGATAAAATGACAGGAGGAAAGGTCAAGTTGATAACTTTATATGGAGAGTATTTTTAACTTCACTTTCTGGACAGAGCACTTAAAGCGGCTTCCCATCTACATTTGCCTTCCGAATGTTGCTAGCACAGGTAAAGGTGATCAGGTATTGTCAGCAATGGAAAGCTTACATCATATTTCCCTACTATAGAGAAGTTCTCCTAAAGCTTCAGGTAACCATGAGCTGAGAAGCTGAGCAGGAAAATCTGTCTCTGTTCAGAAGGTACTCCTGGTGCTCCTTTTGAGCAGCAAGATTCTCACAGCTGGACTTTACAAAACTTTGGGCAGATTTTTAAAAGAGTACTTTTAAAAAATTAACTTTGCAATAGGTGGAATCATGCAGAAATTACTGTACAGTATTAGAATGCGTAGGGAAGAACCGCAAAGAAAAGCAATCAGCCAGCAAAACAGAAGATATAGGGGAAATGAAAAATTCCTTACCAATTATTTCCTTTTTTTTAGTCCTACAATTCTGGGGTGCTCTCCTCTCTCTAGAGCTTGTGGAAGTGGCTCAGAATTTTGGCACTGCCCTGTCTGGCTTTGTCCACTCTCCTCCCGCTTGCAGTCAGATGAGTTATTTCTAAGCTAGAAAACTTGCACAACATCATTAAAATATATTTCAGAGATAATGAAATAACTACATTAGACCAAGGAAGATGGTCATATGGTCACAATTCCAGTTAATAGTTTACCCCTTTGACTCCTAAACCATCCAGGGTGTGCATAATAGTGGAAGATGCTGCTAGCAGAAAGGTAATTATTGGTAAGAATTTTTCTGTTCTGCAGCCTACCATCTCCCATAATTCAGGATATCTGGGAAAGAAGCAAGCAACAAATAGATGTAGGGAGGAAAGTTTTTGTTAGGAAAGAAATACCATCCTTTTTAATAGTGAGCTCATTCAAATCTCTGAAAGAGGCCTCTGTAGAAGATAGAAAGTCCGCCTTGTAGTGCTTGCTTAATGAAAGTGCTAACTAGAGACCTTGTCACAGATTTCTACTGGATATGCTCACTTGTTACAATCAGAAGGTTGGTAAGGCTCTTATGGAGTGTGCCATGATCCCTTCTTACACAGGAACCACAACATTGTGGGCTTCCACAATGCACAGTCCAAAGCCCCATAGTGATTAAGGACTTGAAAGTTCTGAGTCCCTAGCATTTTGGGTGAAAAGGCATAAATAGGGAGCCTAATCGTCATGTGGAGTCGATGTGCTTGAAAGATTTTCAATACTCTTCTGACCATTAAGGTGTGCCATCTCTTTTCATTTGATGCTGTGATTTTGGATATAATGAAAAAAGCAAAACCTCTTGGGAAGCAAGGAAGGAGGACTTTACCTTAGGGGAAGGTATTCTGGTGTGCCGAACATCACCTTGTCCTCCTATAACATGCAGTAAGGCTCCTGTATAGATATAGCTGGAAACTCCACCATTCTCCTGGTGGATGTGACAGCTACTAATATACTAGTTATAATGGATAAATAAAATGTTGACTCTGACATCAGACACTCAAAAATACAGCTTATCAGGGTTCTCAGAACTAATAAAAGATCCCATTTTGGGAAGAGTAGCCTGATAACATATGTGACTAATAATACTGCAAGTAAGTAGAACACTACTAAGAGCGGACACCTGAGACTCAGTGGTACTGGGCTGAAGGCCTTGATCTATGCCTTCTCAGAAGTCCTGAATGGTTTGAAATCTTGGAGTTCTGGGATTTGCTCTGTGCTCTTGGCACTTTTGTTGAATTTGGACAAGATAGAGAAGTACACTTTTACTATTCATACTCTTCTAGACGAAGCAATGACTCTGGAGGAAAGACTTCAATACCCAGGCTATTAGCTGAAAGTGTATTGAGTCCAAGTGAAGAGGACCTTGTAAGAAGGGGTCCAGTCTCTGTAGAAGCTGGATGGGGAACTCCATTGACAGCTCTGTCACGTCTGAGAACCAAGGTCTCCTTGGCCAAAAAGGAGTGCTTAGCATTACTATTGTCTGTTCTCATTTCCTTTTTGAACCACCCTTGTCAGTAGTGGAAAGGGTGGAAATGCAGCGAGTATGTCTTGCAGTCATCTGTGCAATGAGGCATCTGTCCCTATGAAACTGCAGCCTGCCTCCATTGTGAAATATTTTGTCCTCTTTGTGTTTTGTATGATCCAAGAACAGTTTGACTGAAGGGGGCTGAACGTTTGAATGAGATTGAAAATCAGAATTGTTGACTCTGTTCCTACTGATCTAGTCTGCCAGCTGATTCAGGTCTTGTTTAATATAGGGTGCTCTGATGGAAAAGAGGAACTGTTCCACCCGCCCCATTATTTACATTGCTTCCATGTGTAGTTCCATCATGGTGGTTTAAATATGCCATTGTAATAGTGTTGTCTGAACCAGGATGTGGTTCATCCTTAGGTTAAGCAGAAATTTAGCAGAGCTAGCTTGACTATTCTCAGTCAGCCCTTGGAGGTATATGCTATGAGGCATTTCTTCCTTGGACTGTTTAAGTCTCTAAGTGATCTCTCCAACCCTCCAGGCTGGTCTCAATCGCAACGACTAAAGGATCTAGAATGCAGATGGGCATACCTTTGCAGACACTGATTTCGGCTGACCACCAGTGTAAGGAGTTGATCTTTTATGTCAGAACCTGTACATAACCTACTATAGTCTGGGGTGTGGTATGAAGACTCTGATGAATTATTTTGACCATGGACTGGTCGCTATCCAGGACACTAGGAGTTGGAAACCTAGTACCTGCAGCTCTAAAGCAAGAAAATAAATTCCTGGATAGAAACTGAGAACTTTCCTTAGGCACTGATGATGAAATCATCAACCTGAAGGAGATTCATTATCCAAGCTGTGGCCCTGTGTGCTGGTCAGGATGTCATCAAGGAATGGGATGAGTTCCCCTCAACTTGACTCTCACTATTATCACTGCCACCATTTTGGAGAAAAACCCTGAGATGAGAGGACTGGCCAAATGGGAGTTGGATATCCAATGATGTTTCCTGCCATAGGCAAACATTAGAAGAGTGTAATGACACTTTGATGGGGATACAGAGATATGCTTCTGCTAGATCTACTGAAGTTAAGAATTCCTCTGTAACGGGAATAGAGTCTCAATCCAAAATTTCATTTTCTTATCAATTTATTTTGAGCCTTTTGAGATTGAGAATAGCTACCGTCCCTTTCCTTGCCCCATACTTGATTTTTATACCATCTTTGTCAATGTATACAAGAGCACTTTTCTTGTGTGGGAACACTACCATTTCCATATGCAGAAAGATGAGATATTGTGTTTCTGGATCAGATTGTCTTTTGTGTGGTCATTGAAGAATAGATGGGGCAGCACTTAATATTTTCAGATTCTGATTTGTACATTATAGTATGTTAGAAAATGGTGCCTGATATTGGTTATTGATTAACTTTGTGCTCATTTATCTTAAGTTGCATTTGGATATTAATTGGAATTTAATTAAACAGTAGTATATACAATTTATTTTTATTAAACAAAACAATCTTAAATGTTTTGGGTACATCTACTGTATTTTAATGAGCTAGAGAGTAAGATTCTGTGGTGTTATAAATATTAAAATTTGAGGACTAAGACAATCAGAACTCAGGTAAAGATATGCAGTAAAATAGGAATATGAAACCATTCAGGTGATCTTACCTAATTTTGATGGAAGATACATGATGGTGTTTCTGGAAGTCCGAGGTTGGGTCCCAACACTTTTGGTGACTGCTATTTTCTTGCACCTAGTAGCACAATCTCTAGGGCAGTGATCCTCAACGCGGTGCCCGTGGATGCCATGGCGCCCGCCAGAGCATTTAGGTGCACCTGCCGAATGATCTGGGCCAGCTCTCTCCCCCCCCCAGGCACGTGGCACATGTGCGGTGCCGCCGCAGGGCGCATGGGCGGCCCCGCCCCCGGGCGCCCAGCAGCCCCAAAAGGTTGGGGACCACTGCTCTAGGGTCTTCTCCCCCACTTCCAGGACCGAGCTCTTAATGCCATACATGTCCTCTTATGCCATATTTATAAAGCTTGGCTCCAAAAGTCAGACTTCTCCCCCTTTATTTATTCTTTATTTAGAAAAAAGTTGTCCCTGTTTTTGAGAGAGGCTCATGAAGTCAGCGTATTTTCATGTAAATGTTTTAAGATATAAGTTTAGGCCTTAACATATTTTGTATTGCATTCATATTTAATTTAAAATAGGTTTATTTTTGAAAAAAAATGTACCTGGCTAATGAGCTGAGAACCGTACTGAATCCATTGAGGCATTAGCTTTTGGCAGGGAGACTCTAAATAGGAGCAGAAATCAGGATGATGGCTGTCATTCCTGGTGTTGAGATCTTCCAGCCAGAAAGGAGATGCTCTTGCAAGTCAGGTAGTTGCTAGGAACACTCAGGTAGTGGCAGAGGAGGATTCAAAGCCCTTTTTGCTAAGGGTTTTCATCTTTCTATCTGTGAGTTCCTTAGGATATAAATCCCCCACTAGGAAGGAAGCTCTACAGTATATCATCCTTTCATATCTTGGCGTTAGATCTCTTCGGTTCTTGAACATTATAGAGCCTAAGGTTGCTTTTAACTTGTTTGTCCTTATCCATTAATTCCTCATCACTTTCTTGAAGGAGTGAAAGGCTATTGAAGTTTTGGGAGGATGTATGAGAGGTGAGGTTTATTCTCAGGAGACTGCTCAGATATCAGATCCAGATAGCTCTTCTTCCTCAGTGGGGAAGTTGTCGTCGTCAGAGGACATTTTAGCTGGTGGATTTTTTGTGCTCTTGTTTTGTAAAAAACCTTTTTAGTGTCTTCAGTGAATGTAAAAGTTCTGCTGAAATTTTGGTGAGGCCTTTTGTGGTTTGCCTTCTTGGGGACTTAGAGCCCTTTGAGAATCTCAGAATCCTTCCCCCATTTGTGTACCATGCCCCCTTGGAAGGCAGGAATTTTTCATCTGATTCTACGTGGTTGGCTTGGGAAGGAGTGATCTGTATAATCCCCTGAGTCAAGTGCTTTCACCACTGGGGTTCCCTGGTCTATTTTTCCCCATTGGAGTTGCAGCTGACTTGATGTGTAGAGGACCTCACTTGCCTGTCCAAATTGTGGCCCTGGGTCTTCACCATTTAGCATAGTTGGAGATAGAATTCTGAGTACAACCCACCACCTGCCTTGGAAGCCTATCTTACATATAGAGCACTACTTGAATTTGACAGTGTGCATCCTTACCTGCCAAGTCAGAAAGGAAAGACTACAGTGACAGAAAGGTTTACTGATCCAGGGTAGAGGAGAAAGAATGATGAAAATGAAGAATACTGTCTGAGAAAATTGCACTTGTAAAATAAGAATGAGCAGGAGTAAAATAAATTGCCATTGTCTGCTGTTGTGGAGGCAGTCTGGTAGCAAGCAGCAGAGGAATTGTTACCAGATCATGTGGTGCCAAATCACTAATTCATCCCCAAGAGCTGCAGAGATAGCAGCCCAGACATGTTGGTGACGTTGTGCTGCAGGAAGAGTGATGGGAGGAAGACATACTAGTCTTTTCTCCCCATTAAGCATTATTAGAGACCTCTAAGGATATGTTCAGGATTACCAACGTAGCAAAGCAAACAAACACTGCTTGGTGATGGCAGATAAAACCACTGTTGACTCCATAGTTCAGATGCAAGGAATGGGTTTATTTCAGCATAGTACGAAGTACCGTACCTCAGTGGTCAGTTGAGGTATGGTTGGTCAGTGAGCTCACTGAGTATATACAGACAAGGCTTTAAACTTAATTCTACATACACTTTAATGCCCAAGATAATACCCTGCTTTCTAGAAACGCCCCTCTTTTCTGATTCATTATATAATAAACTATACCAGTTATAAGATTCTAGAATACTGATAAACACATTATATAATCTAGTGTGTAACAGAATTGTCAATTTTAAATATTTGACAAGGACTTGGTTTTGTTTGTTCTGGTTATATTTGGTGAGGCCATCGTGACTCCCTCATTGTTAATTTGTCCTTGTTCTGCTCTCATGTATGAGGGATACTTAGTAAGCCAAAAACATTGTTTTGTACTTGTTCCCAGAAAACATTATTCAGAAGTTTGATGGACCATACTAAAGTAGGACTTTGTCCTACTAACTCGTGTGTGTGTGTGTGTGTGTGTGTGTGTGTGTATATATAAATACACTTAAGTCCTTTCATGTGGTAAGTTTACCTAATGATTGACTTGCCTCCTTACAAATTTAAGAAACTGAATGTGTTTCAGAAGCTAAAGACCACTATAGAGTAATTTCATCACTGATATCTAATCAAAACATTTTAGAATACAGGAACAGTGTTCTCTACTGCCACTACTAATGCCTCGCACTACTGTCAGCACTAGCCCACATGGCTTGGGCACTGACAAAAAATACTTGGTGCTCAATGTAGCATCTTCCAGAACTGATTTACAGATGACAACGAACTAGTCACTACATCACCCTATGTGATATTATCTTCATTTTACAAATGGAGAAATGTAACCACAGAGATTTTCATATCTATAAATTTTCAGAAATGTCCACTAACTTTGTATGCCCAATTTACATCAGTGGCAGAGCTTCCTTCCCTTTCTCATCCATGTAGTTTCTACACTAAGAAAAAAGATCCCAATTTCTTCCTGTTAACAGGCATATCATTAATCAGAGCAAACTTCCGTTTCTGTTCAGATAAACAAGTTACAGAAATTGTTGAATTTACTACATGTCTTGACATGAGATAATCTAGCATGAGCAGCCCAACTGACCACATTTACAAAGACGGGAACATTTGTTTTTTTGTGTATGTTGTCTGTACAGGAACAAGTGAGTGCTATACAGTACTGTTGCCCAAGCAGCTGCTCTTACCTTATAGTTGAGGTTCAATTATATACATCCTGACATCTGAAGTATGCAGTTAAGATCTCTTTCATGTAAAGAATATTTTATGTTTTTTAAAGGACTGCTTCAACTTCAGTGGAACAAGTGAGGGAGCGAAGTTATCAGAGAGCTTTACTTCTCAGTGATCATAGGAAAGACAAGGACAGTGGTAAGTTGGCTTATAACTCCAGAAAATGGATTCATTGAACTAATACACCTGGTTCTTAGCCATTCTGGATCTGCATCATCTGTAGGATAAAAATCATTATGTTGTAGCCTATACTCAATCTCATTCAAATATCTTTCCTCAGTTATAACTTAAGGTCCTTTCTTTCACTGAATTAGACTGGCATGATTTTGGGGAAATACTTTTAATGGAAAAGTTTTTCTGTTAAAAGTATTTCCGCAAAAGAACTTCTAGATTGGCATGGATGCTTTTGCGCAAAAGCATCTGTGCCAATCTAGACACACTTTTGCGCAAGAAAGCTCTGATGGCCATTTTAGCCATCGGGCTTTCTTGCGCAAAAAATTAAGGTGTGCCTGTCTACACTGGCCCTCTTGCGCAAGAGGGCTTATCCCTGAGCGGGAGCATGAAAGTATTTGCGCAAGAAGCACTGATTTTGTACATTACAAAGTCAGTACTCTTGCGCAAATTCAAGCGGCCAGTGTAGACAGCTGGCAACTTTTTCCGCAAAAGCGGCTGCTTGTGCGCAAAATTTTGCCAGTCTAGACGCACCCGTAGTGTTTACAAAAGTCATGTTTATCACATTGCTATATTTTACTGTCGTTTTGTTTATAGATCCTGATCCTGAAAATCCAGAGTCCACAACTGAATGTCAGTCCCCAGAAACGTCTCAGAAAACTTGTAGTAGTCCTTCAAAAGTAAGCAAGGTAATATTCTCTTTGCACGCATATGTGCACGTAAAGATTTTGAGTTTGTTTTTAGAAACAAACTCACATCTGCGCTGATGTGAAATTTGATAATATTAGTATGTATCAATCAATTTAGGATTGAATAAGGATCTTAACTAGTTAAAGCACTACAAAGGCAGTTTCACCTCTCTCGTTAGTCACATCTCCATATCACCTGCTGTGAACAGCTATACCCACCCTGACTTGATTAGCTTAATTAACATAAGTAACTTCTTTTTTTCTTTTATATACTCCTGCCTCTGTAACTTCCACTCCAGTTCATCTCATGAAGTGGGTTTTACCCACAAAAGTTTATGCCCTAATAAATCTGTTAATCTGAGGGCTTGCCTTTACTGCTGTGGAGATCGATGCTGTGGCAGTCGATCTTCCAGCATTGATTTACCCACTAAATCAAATGCTGATAGCCCCCCTATCAACTGCAGTACTCCTCATACTTAGGGAAAAAACACCTGTTGACTTCCCTTACTCCTCCTGTCAGCCTCCTGCTGTGGGCCCACCCCAGAAGACAGATGTAAGGTACGTCTACATCAGCTATGCAATTGTCATGGCTAGAATTGCATATCCTACATCAATTTTCTCCACCAATGTAGGCACAGGACTCTTTGCTGGTTTTGTTGGATACAGCCTAACATGTCTACTCTGAGTATTTTCACCAAAAGTACAAAGTTACTATTGAATTCATTCATGATAGGAATTCTCAGTTGCAATGGACTTTCCAACATCCATAAGTACATTTAAGATCATCATAACTTAGCTTAGTAAAAGTGGTACTATTTTTTAATCAAGATTTTCTGATCATTCAAAACACTTAACTATGCTAATTTCATCTGCTTTTATCCCAGTTTTCTGGAGTATGAATGGATACAATCTTTTTAGGCACTACAGATCACAGGCTCAGTTGAATTAAAATTTGGTATGTCACGTTGAATGATAGTAACCAAGTCACCATTACAATTGCAGTGACTTTTTTTTGTTGGAGACAAATGGTTTTGCATTTTGATTAAAAATCCCAGATCTCTAGAGTTCAGATTCCTTGTACAATAATGTGCTCAAATAAATTAAAAAAAAACATTTTTTTTAAAGAGTAAGGGTAATTAACTCTGATATGAAGAGAATTGTGCTACTGCATAATATTAAATGGTCAGTTTGTTCATATTATCCTAAGTTTTTAGATTAGAAGTGAAACCTAAACATTTTTTTAAAAATTATTATGTATAGAGCTTGAAGTAAATCCCTTAATATCAGCAGTCCAGGGCTTTTAAATAACATACTAAACATCTTTCAAGTAGCAGCCATCTTCCTGTTTGGTTTGGTTTTTTAAAACCTAGGACACTTTGTATGATGTATAAATCGCAAGTTTCAGTGCATTTTGTTAACACTTTATTATGAGGATACTGCTACTATTAAGAAAGTTTAGACTTACCAACAGTATCTTATTTCAAATAATGAGCATCTACCCTGTGCATCTGCCAATGGAAAGCAACTTTTTTTTATTTCTAAATTACTTTTATCAGAGAAATAAAAATAACTTTTATCCAGCAAGTTTAATTAAGAAACAGTGGTTTTAATGTATACATTTTAAAATGTTTTTGTATGGAGTTACACTGACCTGTTCTTTCTCCTTATCTACCTAGCCTTCTTCACCTGGTCCTGTAGTTTCAGTGCAATCAATTGGCAGAACACCCACAAAACCAGATTCTCACTGGGAAACTTCAGTTAATGCTCCAGAGACTGAGAATGTGAACCATCCGAAATCTGAGCTGCAACAAAAACAACTGACAAATAATGTCCAAGTACTTTCAAAAACTCACCCATCTCAGTCGCATTTGCGCAGTTCAACAGAGCAACTTTGCCATTCACAAAAGCTGCCTTCTGCACCTTTGAAACTGCATTGTCCCCCTTCACCTCATGTAGAAAATCCTCCAAAGTCGTCTACTCCTCACACACCTGTACAGCATGGTTATCTTTCACCAAAGCCTCACTCACAACAGTTAGGATCTCCGTACAGACCTCATCATCCACAGTCACCTCAAGTTGGAACACCTCAGAGAGAAACACACAGAAGTTTTTATCCAGCAGCACAGAACCTACAGCCTGGTAGTCAGCAGCAGGCTAGTGGACAGTTGTTCACCCAGGCACCTTCAGGACAATCTTCTGCAACTTATAGTCAGTTTAGCCAACAAAGTTTGAACAACAGTGCGCCACCCCCACCCCCTCCCCCACCCCCTTCGTCTACTTACTATCAAAACCAGCAGCCCTCTGGAAGCTTTCAGAGTTATAGTCAGATAAAGGGTAGCATACCCCAACAAACTGTTTTCTCGTCTGGACCAAATCAAGCACTTCCTGGCACTACAGGCCAGCAAGCAGTCCCAGGACACCATGTAACTTCAGGGCACTTTTTGCCCTCTCAGAACCCTAGTATTCATCATCAGGCTTCAGCATCTGCTGTTCCTCCTCCACCACCACCTCCACCTGCTCCAGGACCTCATCTTGTACAGCAGCAAAGTTCCCATCAGCAGCATTCTGTAGCACACGTAGTAGGTCCAGTTCATGCTGTGGCAGTAGCACCTGGATCACACATTCATTCTCAAGCTGCTGGTCACCATTTGCCACCTCCACCTCCACCCCCAGGTCCTCTACCCCTCCATCAACCTCATTCCACAACTGGACATCAAGGTCTACAAGCACAACACCAGCATGTAGTAAACTCAGCTCCTCCACCTCCCCCACCTCCACCCTCCAATGTTTTAGGCTCTGGGCATCACCCAGCCTCAGCACAAGGGTTACATCATCCATCACATCAAGGACCTCCACATTTTCCTTCAAGTGCATCTTCCTATTCACCACAAACTCCCCATCATACAACCTTGGGACCTGCACCTCAGCATCCACCTACTGGAACAGGACCTCACTGTCCACTACCAGGTCAAGGTCCTCATATCCAACCTCAAGGACCAAACAGTATTCCAACACCTACAGCTTCAGGGTTCTGTCCTCATCCTAGCTCTGTAACCCTTCCTCATGGGGTGCAAGGACCTCAGCAGGCTTCACCAGTGCCTGGACAAATTCCTATTCACAGAGCACAGGTGCCACCAACTTTTCAAAATAATTACCATGGTTCTGGGTGGCATTAAAATGGGACCCTTGCTCCTAAACATTTTAAAAATGTTTCTGTAAAGTAAACTGTATATATTTCATATGTACCTGTTCAAGGTACTTTTTAAAGCTTGTACATGATACTTTGTATAAAAGCAAACACCAGTGCTCTTTCATTGTATTCTTTCCATTATTTTTGCTTTTTTAAAATTCCTGAAAAATGTGCTGTTCAGCCAGTATTAGGTATATCTTTTTATTTTGTAAGTGAACATTCCAGCAGTTTTTTCTGGCAGATTTGATGCTGCATAATCTTTCAATTTTATTGTTGCAGTTAAAATTCATTTAGTGAATGTTTTCTATATTACTTTTTATACATATGTAATTAAATAAGTACACTGATAAGAGATGGCACGAATAGGTTTTTCATTTTCTTCTGTCAACAGTTCTTTGTGTGCATATTGCTAGAAAACAATGCAATACAAATTTTTATAGTTTGGCGTGGACATGACTTTTGTTTCATCAGTTACTTGCAAAAATGTAAAATTTAATGTATAGATTGTTTCTAATATCTGACAACTGCTGTAAATACTGTTTCTTTTGCGTGTAAAATTGCTTAAGGCGCCTTTCATTTGATATAGTACTGTACATAATGACAAGTCTCTTTTGCAAAAATGTGTGATCTTTGTGGAAGTAGTACAGTATATGATCTTCAATTTTTTAATATACTGTCACATTACAGCACTGGTTGGGCATTTTAATTCATGTTAATAAATCACAATTATGTCAGTTTTAACCAACTGGCCCTGAGTGGTGTGTATTTAAGGAAAAATAAGATTTGGTGACTGGGACCCGCTAGCTCTGAAGGTATCCCTACTGCCAGCAGCAGCACAAAAGCAAAGGTGACAATAGATAACACTCTTAATTCTCTGCTGTCTTCAGAACTGGGTGCACTGCTAGCAGCTGCTGCTGCTGTTCCCGTCTTGCTCACTTTAAAGGTAGGGGATGTAAACTACTACAGACACAAAGTGGGGGAGGGGAGGGAATCAAGTAAGTTTGAGATCCACTGCATTAAAGGTTAGGTTTTTTTTTTTTTTTTGCTGATCTTAGTGATTAGAGATGAGGAAAAAACTACTTGAAATATCAATGTAGTGTCAGTTTACTGAAACATGTTACATTATACAAAACTAATCCACACAGTTTATGCATTGTACATGATCAATATTAATACACTGGTACAGTTACAGACTAGATCCATACCAAATCTGATTCAAATATTGGTTATTCTGATCTAGAAGACAGACCACAGTAGCATTTGCACATACTTTTAGGTATGTTTTCTATTCTAAAAGTTCAAAGCAGAATTCCAGTTGTGGCAACATTAATGATGTCAGATTTTGCATTTCTGAAATGCAGCACTTAAAACAAATGACTACCTACACTGTGAAGACATTTCAAAATAAAAATGACAAAATTATGAAGTTTTATTACCAAGAGGAGATGAGCACATTTTTGTGGCTAGAGAGTAACAGATTTAACAAAACATGAATATATACAGGCTGCCCCCAACTTGTGATGCGATCAGCTCCAGGGATAGTGCCACAAGTTGGCATTGTAACTCAAGCCCGCATTTATGATAAGTGTCATACGCCATCGTAAATGCAGGGCTGAGGATGTAAGTCGGGGGATTTCAGCCCCTTCCGCGCTTACAGAAAAGATAATTAAGTGCGGGGAGTCATAAAGCGGGGGCCTCCTGCACCTATGATAAGATAATCTTTGTGCTAACTAAAATCCTGCCACTATGCTTGAATGCAGCTATTTATAATCCCTTTAGTCATATTAAATACCAATCTGTGGAAGGACAAATTATTTCAGATTTTAAGCTAATTTAGTGGGTTGTATATAATTTTAATGAAACAATACAAATTTAATTAGCCTTGCAAAACTAGCTGAATGTATGTGGGCATCAAGTAACTTTTCTACTATAGCTGAATGCAGATGTTAGTGCTTTAAGAATCAAGAACATCCACTAGTTTATAAAAAGCTAATATGCAAGACTAAGTTAAGAGGAACTGTTGTTTTGTCTTAATGTGCAACTGCTACTTTGCAACTGAAAACACATTGGACTGGTAAGAGTATTAGAAATCAATTTTCTTACTAACTCCAGGAAAGATCATTGTTCCATTGCTATTTATATCCTTGTCTTTTCCTCTGTGTCTAGCAACCAAAGTCTACTAGGAATTGACCAAGACCCATCAACTCTTTTATTAAAAGATCAAATAGCTTACAATCAATGCCAATGACCAGAGCCCAGCACTGAAAAAGTAAGAGTGGGTTATTCATCCTCTGCAGTAACTGACATTCTTTGAGATGGGTGTCCCGGTGCATGCTCCATCTTAGGTGTTTTGCTGCCGCAATGCACCTGGCCAGAAGATTTTATTAGTAGAGGCTTTGACTGCTAGCATGCATATGTGCAGAAACACTACACACACTAGGTGGCTGAGGCGCATGCACGAGATACGGTCACCTCAGTTCCTCCTTTGCCCCAGAAAAGTATGGAAATAATATCCAAGCTGTGGGGGGAGGAAGGGTGGATGGTGGAGCACCCACAATGACACCCATCTCGAAGAACATAAATTACTGCAGAGAATGAGTAACCCTCCTTTTTCTTTGAGGAGTGTCCCTGTGGGTGCTCCACCTTAGGTGACTACAAGCTTCGGACCGTGTAGTATCCTTTTGGACCGTGGTAAGGATTGTATGTCCCAACACAGTTTCTCTGGATGTGTAGGAGTCTAGAGCATAGTGAGCAGCAAATATATAAGTAGAGGACCAGGGGACCATATCCAATTTGCATCTATTGGCCAGAGAGATGCCCTGTACACAGGCTGTTGATGCTGCCATGGCCCTCGTTGAATGTGCACAAAGGTGTGCAGGTGGTTCTTTTCCGAAGATTGAATATGCTATTCATATGCATTATACTATCCGTTTTGAGATCCTTCTCCCTTGACATTGGTGCTTTCTAGGGTCATATTGTCTTTGAGAATGACCAAAAAGGGAAAATCTGTATCTCTGAACATAAGGATTGGGTTTTTTTTGTATTTTGGTGCAAGAGCCTGGATGCCCAGCATTTTAAGTGTGGCCCTGGCATCTTTGAGGGACTGTAAAGAAGCATTTGTGCCATCAGCGAAGAGCTTCGGGCCCTCGAACGAAAGGTCTTCCACCTTCGTCTGGACCTCCTTTAGGAAACCAGAGCGGTGGAGTCAGGAGGCTCTTCTCATCACCACAGAGATGGCCAGGACTCATGAAGCTGTATCAGGACTCATGAAGCTGAGTCCAAAGCAGTTTGGAAGGCTGTTCTGGCTATCAGGAGACCCTTGTTGGTGTTCACTCTCATTTGTTCTATTTTATCCTCTGGGAGGAACTGAATAAAATCTGCAATTTGCTCAAATATGTGATGAATGTAATTAGCAATGTGTAGCTGTAGGGAGACAGAGGAGTATGACCATCTGCCCATTATGTCTAGTCATTTCCACTCATCAGGAGGGGTGCATTTGGCAACTTGCTCCGCTGATTCACTGCCTCAATTAGTATGGAGTTAGGGGAGGAACGTGAGAATAAAAACTCAGCATCCTGAGGAACCATGTAATATTTCCTACCCACCTTCTTGCTCACTGGGTGGTGGGTGTTTGCCAAAGTTGCTTGGCTGGGTCCATGAGGGCGGGATCCATGGGGAGAACGAGCCTCATGGATGAAGCGGTATAGAAGGATGCTCGTAAGTTTATGCTGGGTCTCTGGCAGTGTGGCTAATGAGACCTCTTGAAAAGGTCTTGGAAAGCCTTGAAATCATCCCCAGATAGGGCTTGCAGAGGCATGAGTGTGTCCCCAGGGGAGGAAGGAGAGATGTGTGTAAGTGGGTGAGGAAGTAGTGGATTCCTTGTTGCCAGTGTGGTAAGGCTGCTTGTAAGTGAGGGAATTTGCACCTCTGCGTAGTGTCTGGGAGGAGTTGAGATCATGATAGAAGCCTGATCCTCCTCACCAGAGAACAGAGGTATGGAAGTGCCAGGCATAGACATGGAAAACCCCTCGGAGTGCGAGGAGGAATCAGTGGCAAACAAGGGTGTCACGGGCACTGAAGAGATCATAGAATAGTCTGTGGACCAAAAAGGAGGCACTGGTGGTAAATAATATTATATGCTTTGGCTTTGCAAGCAGAGGGGCTGGTGCAGGTGCTGGGGGAGGTAACTGCGCTCTGGTCCCTGCGCTGCCTTTACGTACAGCAATGCTTGGTGTCGGTAAGACCGATACTGTTGTAGCCCTGTGCTGTTCAAACATGACAGGCTTGGGCTTATCAGCATGTTTAGGTACAATGACCAAGTCCTTAGACCCTCGAGACACAGTGGGTGAACACTGCCCTAGTAAGTGCTTATCTGGATCCCCAGCAGGGACGGAGCTGGCTTAGAGTTCAGGGATCACCCTTTCTTATGTGAAGGGGATTCCCTCTTTGCTGCTACATCATGTGCTCGCTTCTGTTTGGAAGAGGCACAGCTGCACCAGTGGGAACTGCTTTATCCAACATCACCGCTGGTGATAGTAATAGCAAGGATGCAGGGTGGCCAGGGTCTGACGCTGGTCTGAGGGAGTGTTTGAGGTAGATCCAGGTGGAGCTGCAAACCCTCTGGCTCTCCTGCCCTGGCTGCCAAATTTTCACTGATGACAGTAAACTGCGCTGTAATTGTCCAGACAGTGTATGCACTGAAAGTGCTAGTCTGACTGCAAGTTTGAAAGCATGTGAGGAGAAAACAGTGTTTAAAACAGAGCCCCTGCTTGGGAGAACGCTGTGAAAAAGACGAAGAAAAAAAATATTAAATCTGTGGAAAAAAAATCACACTCAGTCTTATGTGAGGAGGATGGAGCTGAAGCTGAGGGAAAAGAAACTCCTCAGTGCAGGAGAGAGGAATCCCCTGAGGGGAAGCACAGGTTGCAGAGCCCGCACCTCTCTCTGTGTCTGAGGAAGACACTTGGTTGTCTTTCTCTTTTTTTTGGGGGGGGGGGGGGGATAAAAAAAATATAATGAAAAGGCTAACTAAGTAAAGGAAAAGACTAGCTGTCTCGCTGAGGAGAAATCTGTAGAGAGCACTGCAGGTTCCAACTGACGCCGCCAGCAGCAGAGAAGGAACTGAGGTGACAGTCTCTCACACGTGCATTAGCCGCCAGGCGTGTGTAGTGCTTCTGCGCGTGAGAGCTAGCTGTCAAAGCCACTTTTAGTAAAATTTTCCAGCCAGGTGCGCTGCAGCACCAAAACACCTAAGGTGGAACACTCCCAGAGACACTCCTTGAAGAACAACCTTATTCAAATCCCCTCAATCCCATATAATTACAATTTACTGAGGTGTTCAAAGCCATTGCGTTCGTAAAGTGACTATCTAGCTTGGAAGCAAGACTTCATATTTTGTATAAGACAGTCATATATATACACATGCTGTCAGTTTAAACTGAGTGAGTAGCTACAGCTTTTGAAAGAAATGGGTAAAAGACAGCATAGTAAGTGTGTGAAATGGTAATGTTTAAGTTACTGCTATTGATTAAATATTAGGCTATCAATAACTTCTGTAAAAATATCTACAATATATTGGAATATTTGGTTTCGTGCCTAGAGAGTGCAATACATTTTAAACTAATATTTCAATCCTTAAGTTTCTTTCCCTCCTGTACTGAAAATTTTTTTTCTTGTTGCAGCAAGATGAACCTAAAAGCAGAACATTTTATTTCTGTTGTTTTCATTGCAGTATTTTGTCTTTTACACCATCAATATTATCTTGGCTGCTACCTTTCTCCCTTTTTTTTAATACCAGTATGAAGTTCTCAAGTGAATGGCTCATTACCCTCTGCTCTGAAACCCAAATGTTGGCATCGCCAAGTGTGGCTGAAGTTTTGAACAACAACGTATTGTGTTGCACTCTAAAAATTAGGATTATTTTAAATTTTGCTAAATTATTGGAGTATACACAGAAGGGCAAAACATGCACAGGTTACTTGAAGTTCTGTGGAATGCCATTTCTGAGTCTGAACAAGCAATGAATTAAATTAAACTGTGCTATTTTAGCTTGATGTATTAATATATTTTCAGCACATATACAGAAATTTTACAAATGAATTGTAAACTGACATTTCCTTTATGCTGGGCTAATAACCCTACTGTGAAATGTGACTAACAGCTGGATTTATTCACTAGCAAGCATTTGAATGACGAGCACAATGTCTGGAAAAAACAAAACACTTTAATTAGACAACTGCAAGCACCTCAAACAATTGGTTATTGTTACAACACAGCTATCTTCTCACAATCTAGTTATTGCAAAGGCATGTGAATAAATTTATAATGGACAGTCAAAAAAGTGGCACCATAATTATGTAAAACCAGAAATAAACTTACATTCATCCCACTGACTTCTAAAAGAGGGCAAAATACACCTCTATATTTTACATTCTAAAATCTGTATTGCCTATGAATTTGAGTCTATTTTGCTTTTTTTTTCACACCTTAGAAACATTTGCAATTTTGTGTGCAACTTACAAAGGGCAAACTAATTTCTATATATGTCAATGCATGGGGGGAAAAAGCTAGTGCAATTTGTTTTAGGAGCATATAAAGCTATGAATGGAATGAGCATGAGCTGTCTCAAACATTGGATTATTTTATCCCCTAAATTATATTTGTTTTTGCATCAATCTTTTTCTTACTCTAAGCACATATTATTGTAAAAGATCAGTAATCCTAGACAGAGTATTTCCCATGCTCACTTTTAATCTTCTGGGTATAATACAAATTACAGTGCTTATAAAAAGGCAACACCATATGGTATCATGTCTTCACTATCACATTGTAAGGGAAATTGCTATTCTCTCCTTAAAAGCACTTAAAATAGGCAAAAATTCTAAAAGGGAGTGCTAAAATGATAATGCATACTTTTATCATTGGAAAGAAGTCTAGCCTTCCTTTAAAGTGCCATTTGTGGAATGAAGTCTTGTAAACCAGAGCCACTTTGTTTATAATCCAATGTACAGCAACTTCTACGAAATGGAAAGTTTACACAAATCCTTAAAGCAGCTTGAATTCCGCCACATGCAATTCATATGCTACAAAGCTCTTCAAACTTAGTAGCTTTACTCTGAAATCTGAGTCCCCTTCCCATATTTAAATGGAAATGAACATTTACAGGGTGCATTTACATACACTATAATACAAGAATGATGTCCCTTTGTCAGAAAATAAAATTGTACAATTCCTTGCCTTTTCTCAGTTCTGACTTGATATGTCAAACTGGTAAATTATATAATACTTAGCTAAAATATTTCATCATAAATAGTTACAAAACCTGCCAAAACACAGGGGGTGGGAGGAGTTTTTTCAAAAGTTAGACTTTTGAATGCCACACAACACAAGTAATGATGCTTAAAGACACGCTGAGTGTTTTCTGAAGAGAGTGGGTTAGTAAACTACCAGCTGAAGACAAGACTATCTTTCCCCAAAAATACAGTGCACAAAAAGCAAAATGTCAAACAGTACCTCAAAGCAAAATAAAGGTCTGAGGATGAAGCCAGCTCACTTGTGATCCTGTTAAAGAATTTGTGACAGTCACCAGTCAGGTTTGATGCACTGGAAAGCGGATGCTGGTTCAATGTTACAATTGAAGATTCTGCTAAGAATTCAACCAGGGATGCCTAAGACATTCTCCAGCTGATGCTCGTTTTTCTGGAACCATTTCTAGCATGGGGATCAGGAAATCTGTGAACTGTGCAGCATCTTCATGAGGCCAACCATACTTTTCCACAAGCACATCAAAGAGGCTCCAAGGTTTTAGCTTGGTAATATGACGGAGTTCTCCTGCATATAAAAATATTCTTTTAGAAAGTTCTTATTATCCTTGATTATTACTTGTTCAGTTTCTCTTCCCACTGCATGCCTAAACTATTTAGGCAGGCTAGTTAGTATGTTATTACAGTTCTCCCTGAAAATCAACCCATCAAGTGTTTTATTCAGTTGGCTTTAGAGCTCATTCCAAAGGCATTATTTTCCTTTGAAATGAGTGTATTTAGGTGTAGTTTAATTTACAGTATACTATATCTGTAAACCACTGTAAACATACTTTTATTATGGTACATTCTGCCTTTTCATAAGAAAACATGTATTTACAATCAACTTAGTGATAATAACATCTTAAAGAAAAGCTAAATAAAATTTGAGTACATCCTAAATAAATCAGCTATGCAACAATGGCTGTTTATAGTATCAAACATAATGAAATGCACTTTACTTTGGTATCAATAGGATTAGCATATCCTATTGCTGACACTGTATGCAAAGACTATTTGAAAAAGTCATTTATCATTTATGTGACTGGAGCAAATTAAGTCAGCACTATTCCAGTTTATACTTGTGAGTTCCATGAGTATTGCTATCAATACTATCACCATTTACAAAACAAGAATTACCTTTTCTTTGTTTTCATCTTAGAAGTGAAATTGACAATTATAGAATCTCATCAAAAAACAAAGCCTTGTCCCATCACCATTAGAAAGCCCAAATTAGGAAATGACTGCACAGGCAGATTTTATTTGGAACATTAGCATTACAATTGTGGCTATGCAAACAACTTTAGCTTTGTCCCATGGCATACTCCCCCAATACAGTTTTTTATTCTTATCCGTGCATTACTCAGATAAGTCACCAGTGACCAAAAAAATAAACAAAAAACCAATAAATTGATGTGATAGCAGGATAAGTTTTCTGATTGTTCCCACGATGTCATATAGAGGCAGAATAAAGGTTTTCTGCATGCTCAGCATATTTGGATGTTGTAAAATGGAGCCTCAATTTGACATAAGGCTCAGATTCTGGCATTCTGAAGGAAAGGGAGGTTGCTCACCTTGTGCAGTAACTGATGTTCTTTGAGATGGGTGTCTCTGTGGGCTCTGCACTGTAGGTGACTTGACACTCCAGGGCTTGAAACCAAAACTTTTCAGCAGCAGTACTCCCCCTCTCAGGTGGAGGAGCACACATGCTTGGCACTACAGGCACCATAGTGAGCATGCTGATGCACACACGCCACCAACCTTTTCTTCTTTGAGGAGTGTCTCTGTGGGCACGCCACTGCAGGTGACTATGAGGAAGTATCCTCAGTCTCTAGTTGGAGGGGGTTCAGATGCAGATGGTGGACCGCCTGCCTGAATGCAGTGGATTGTAAAGTGTGTCTACTGCATAATGCTTTGTGAAAGTACGGGCAGAAGTCCACATGGCTACCCTACAAATGTCCGCAACGGGGACATTGTGGAGAAAGGCTGTAGAACCGTAGTGACCAACCTGTCAATTGCGATCGACTGGTCAATTGAGGGGCACAACCAGTCGATCACGAGACATTCAGGGCCCCCTCATTTCTTCCTACAATAAAGGTAGCGTCAGCTTCCTGAAGCGTGGGAGGAGAGGGGGAAGTCCCGCAACTGTATTCCTGAAAAGCCGGGTCTGTTGTGCACCTGTGAATGGGGAGGAGGGGAAGAGTAGGAGTCCCAGGACTGTGCCAGCCCCAGCTGCTGGGAAGAGTGTAGCTGTTGCAGGAAGCGGAGGAGCAGGGCACGTGCTTCTGAAGCAGGTGGAACTGGCACAGTCCCAGGACTCCTACTCTCCCACAGGACAGCAGCAGGGAGAAGGAAGTCGCCTGCATGTGACAGACCCAGCATTTCAGGAAGTACAACGGCTGTTTGGGGGAGGGGAAGAGCAGTCCATGTTTCTTCCTGAGACCCAGACCTGGTGAGTAGCTGCAGGATCCCCAGGTAGCATCCTGAGCTGTCCCTGTCCCCTCACCCTGAGCCAGCCCATCAGCACCCTGTCCCAGCACACACCAGCACCCTGCCCTCTGCCCCTGCACCCACACCTGCCTCCACCAGCACCCTGCCCCCAGCACCCTTCCTCAGCCTCCACCACGCACCCTGCCTCCTGCCTAAACCCCCACCAGCACCTGACTCTGGGCCAAAGCTCCACCAGCACTCTGCCTCCTACCTCCTGACCAAACCCCCACCAACACCCTGGCCAGACTCCCCTGCACCGGGCCCAAACTCTCACCAGCAACCTATCACTGCCCAAACCCCCATCAGCTCCTGTCCCCTGGCCAGACCCCCACGAGCACGCTGCTCCTGCCCCCTTCCTCCTGGCCTGACACCTACCCCCAGCTTGCTCCTGTACCCTATTTTCCACCCATATTCTGCACCCCCATCCCTATCCCACTCACAGGAAGCCCTGTTCCGCACACTGGATCCCTCATTTTTGGCCTGGGGTGCCAAGGGAGTGAGATGTCTCAGCTGGAGCCACATTAGTGAGGCTTGGGGGTTTTGGAGGAGTTGTTTTTTGCATCTTACTTGTGTGACCCCGAGACCCCTGACTCAAAACAGGTTCCCTGCTCCTCTCATAAATAAAGACAATGCTGAAACATTTTGTGTTTGACATAATATTTTATTTAAAAATGAAGCCTGGCCAACAAGCCCCCATCTGGTCACAGCATCACAACACTCCTGCACCCACCCCGAACCCAATCCTGAGCCCATCATACACTGGAACCCCGTCCTGAGCCTCTCTCATCTTCAAACTCCTGCACCCCCACATCGTCAGTCTTCTGCCACAACAATCCTGCATCATCCACACACTGCAAATCTGTGTCCTGAGCCCATCATACTCCCAACCTCCCTACCCTGAGCCCCTCACACACCCCAACCCAAATTCCTGCACCCACACATCCACAAGCCTGCACCTTACTCAGCACCCCAACGCTCAACAGCCTGGAGCCTCCTCCCTGAGCCAGTATCCTCTTCTCCACCTCCTCCTGCACCCAAATTCCCTCCCAGAGTTTGCACCTCTCACCTCTTCCCACACCCAAATCCCTCATTCCCACCCCAGAGCCCACACCTCCCATTTCAACCCAGTGAGAGGGTATGTCTACACTTGCACCCTAGTTCGAGCTAGGGATGCAAATGTAGGCATTTGAAATAGTCAATGAAGGGGGGATTTAAATATCCCATGCTTCATTAGCATGATGTCACCGGCGCATAACTCCGAACAACAGCTGTTTCAAAAGTGAAAGTGCGCGCCGGGACACGTTAGTTTGAACCAAACCCCTTGGTTCGAACTAACATTGCTCCTCAAAAAAACTATCCAAAATATGAGGAGTAACGTTAGTTCAAACCAAGGGGTTTGGTTCAAACTAACGCGTCCCGGCGCGCACTTTCACTTTTGAAACAGCTGTTGTTCGGAGTAACGCGCCGGTGACATCATGCTAATGAAGCACGGGATATTTAAATCCCCCCATCATTGACTATTTCGAATGCCTACATTTGCATCCCTAGCTCGAACTAGGGTGCAAGTGTAGACATAACCCAGAGTATGTAAGGGCTAGGGACAGCAATTGATGGAGAGAGGGAGGGGCCTCAAGGAAGGGGTGGGGTTTTGGAGAAGGGATGGGGTAGATCTTGGCTTGTCCTCACATTTAAAAAGTGATCTTGGGTGTAAAAAGGTTGGAGACCACTGCTGTAGATGCTGCCATGGCTCTGGTGGAATGTGCCGTAATTCGGGTTGGTAATGGCTATTTGTTAACGTAATGATTCTTTGATGCAATTTGTTATCCATTTTGAAACAGTTTGACCCTTGGAACAGTCTGCTATAGAAATAAAAAGCCTCTGAGATTGTCTGAAAGATCTGTCTCTATCTAGGTAAACGGCTAGTGCCCACCGAACATCGAGGAAGTGGAGCCTTGCTGAGTTGGTATCCTGATGCAGCTTTTGATGGAAGGCAGGTAAGTATATAGCTTTGTTCAGGTGAAACTGGGAAACTATTTTTGGGAGAAACTTGGGATGTGGTTTTAGGACAACTTGATCCTTCTAGAAAACTGTGACTGGCAGATGTGCCATGAATGTGGCTAGTTCACCTGCTCTCTTGGCTGTCATTATTGCTATTAGGAAGGCCACCTTTATCGACAGGTAAGTGAGTGAACATGATGCCATGGGTTCAAAGGGATTGAGGATTAGGTTGAGATCCCAAGTTGGTGTTGGTCTTCTGTGTCCTTTGCTTGTGACTGTTCACAATTATATTATGGACTTCTTCTCTCCCAGCAGTCTGTGGGTCTTCTAGCCTTGTAGACATCATGTATGCAGATGAAGCCTGTGAGAGAAACTGAGTCCCGATCTTGGGATAGTATGCCTGGCCAAAGTAGCAGAGGTAAGGGTGGAGTTACAGACAGCTGGGAGAAGTAAGGAAACCATGGTTGCCTGGGCCAGGCCAGAGCTATGAGGATTACTCAGGCAGTATGTTTTATTTTCTGGATGATCATGCCCAAGAGTGGAATTGAGGGAAATGCTTATAGGAGTGTGTGAGGCCAGTTGATGACCACAACATTGCCTATGGATGCCACACCTAGCCCCGCCCTGGAGCAAAACTTGGGGCACTTGGAATTCTGAGATGTTGCGAGTAAGGCTATTTCCAGAAAACCCCACTTGAGGAAGATGGAACATTGAGCTTTGGGATATATTTCCCACTCGTATTTTTGGCGAAGTATACGGCTTAAATGATCTGCAGTGATATTTTGGTTGCCCAGAAGATACACTGCTGACAAGCCAATGTGATGCTGGATGAACTACTGCCAGTTTTGTGGCCTCCCTGGCAGTTTGTATAAAACATGCATGTGGTTTTGTCAGTGAACATTCCCACGTGTTTGCCTTGAATCAGTGGCAGAAACTGCTTGCATGCTTTTCTAACAATGTGAAGCTCTAAAATGCTCATGTGCAGAGTTGAGTCTAACGTCGAGTGCTGTAGTGATCCATGTATTCGCCCCAGCCCTCTAGTGA